TACAAGGAATTCCAGCTCGCGCGCGGCAGTCTTTTCTTCGACGCGGAAGAATTCCCGGGCGAAACTCCCTCCCTCCCCCTTCTCGAATTACTATCGCGGCGTAACAGGGCGGCATTCACGGGGGGGGGGAGGTGCGATCGCGCGGATGAGTAGCGGAAGCTGGGAAGCAAGGGAGTAAGGCACGATGAGACACGTACCCGGATATCCCGCAACGACAATGGCAAACCATCTATCGTTATCTTCCTTCCCGCCGGCGTAATCGACGTCTAATTCCGGATGTGCGATATTGATTATCCGGAAACCGTGCGGGGGGAGGGGGGGGAGGGAAGGGACCGGGAAGGAAGGAGGAAGGGAGGAAGGGCGCGCGTTGTGTTTCGCACGACGCGCGTTCGCACCTTCGACGCGGGAATTGCGGAATTGCGAATTTCGCAACGGACGACCGTCGATCCGATGAGCACCACAGCAGTGGTGCTTGCAGCGTTTCATGATTGTCACGTTCGTTGATTATCGCTAATTAAGGTCGCGTTCTCAGAGATCCCCGTTCTCCTCGAGCCTCTCTCCCCCTCCTCCCTCGATCCCCTAGGTTCTAATCGACCTAATACCGTTACCGTTTCGCGCTATCTCGTGCGTTTGAGGATCAGAGGCGACGTTAATCGACAAGGATGTCTCTAATCTTCGATTGCCTTCGGAGGAGGCCAGATGAACCGCAAACGCGATTCTCGCGTGATATTCCGAAGAGAGGACTCAATTACGATCGCGTGATATGTGTGTGTGTGGCACGATGTAAATAACGTGATCAAGAAATTACAAGAAGTTACGTGTCTCGAATTAATTGGAGATTACGGTGGAAGAATAACGTTTAATTGCCATGGAATTTCTCGTAGGAGGACGTTATTCAATTAATTGTTGCATCGAGCCGCGCGCAGTACATAAAATTTACATTCGTAAGCTAATGTGTCGTAATGCGACCCAGATATAGATCAGATAGGTTTACCGAGAGAGAACTCGCATAGATTTGCATGAATTAATCTCGTCGGATAATTCCCATATGCCGTTGCAATTTGTAGTCAATTGGACCGTATCGTTTCTCGATCTGTGCTGGATATAAGATGTGCCGTCGGCACATCGCGTTGATAAGTAGATAGATAAATGTATGGGAAGATAGATCGATCGATCTTCAGAAGAATCAGAAGAAACGCGTAAACAGGTCGAGGACAATGAGAGAGGGGAGAGGGGAGGGGACCAAGGATAGACGGATGCCTCGATCGACGATGAATGAAGAGCGAAGGAGCCGTCGAGTTGAACATTTTCGCGTCTCGACGAGAAGTTTTCCGCGCGCTTGAGAGCCCTCGAAACTTTTCAATAAAGTGTAAACTTACTTTCCATACGTCTCGAATGACAAAGTTCGTTCCGCCGCTATCGTTTTTTCGAAGGAATTTAGGAGCGCCCGAGAGACGCTCCCGAGGGCGTTGTCGATAATCATTTTTGATGCGCTCTGGAGAAGTTTCTAGCTTCGCTTGTGATTCGCGCGTAGAAGAAGTCGCGATCGCGTAGTGCAAATTTACGCGAACACGTTGCATCCTCGCGCACACTGCCAAGCCTTGAAGGCGAAAATATTTTCGGAGGTTTTATTTTAAAAATTCGAAAATTAAAAAAATATTAAATGTTATATATATTAAAAATTCGAAAATTAAAAAAAAAATGTATTTAAATTCAAAAGGTCCGAATTAACGGCTAATATTTTACAATGTAAATACTACATTTATTGCCTGCGGTTAAACACGAGATAAAAGGGGAATGTTCTTGTGTAGAAATTACACGGCAATTAAAATTTATCTTCCTAATCTATCTAATTTGCTCTTCAACGGACGGTTTTTCCCGAAACAAAATGCGCGATTAGCCGCGCAAACCGCGGGAAAACCTTTTCTAATGTGGAGAACGTCGACGTAATAAATAATATCTTTGTGTCCATCTTGTTTCCACGTAACGAGCTCTGCCGTTATACGTTATTCTCCACGAGACGGTACTCCACCGCCGAGTTTGGAGCTCTAACGGCCGACACCATCGCTAATTGCCGTCCGTATAATTACCATATCGGGGAGATAAATATAGAGCTCTTACCTTCTACGGCCAACGAGACAGGCCCGCCGACATTACGTCCGCGCCGTTTAAAGTCCCCGAAAGATAGCACGGGGAAGGAAAGAGGGGAGGCGGGAGGGGGGGGGGGGTAGTATAGTATAAAAATATGAGCTTCGAACACACGAGCCACGCGACGAAGGTTCTAACGAAGTAATCTACTCGTCGGCGAACCGGCCTGTTTACGTATTAATAAATGTTTCGATTCCTCTCGCTTTAATATTATCTTTGCAGCGATTTGTCTGTCTGAAAGCCGAACTGTTTGAGAAGCGAAGAAAGATCAAAGCGCTATAAGCTCCTAAGCGCAGGGATGGTCAATCCGGCGGCATGCGCTGACAGAGAAAAATTTAAAAAAGCAAAAATAACAATGAGAAAGAAGTCTTTTCGCTTTTAATGCACGAGAAGAAAACGGTATGAGATTACGATCTTTTTTTTTTGCTCAATTCTAGCATAGAGTAGCACGCCAAAGATTTTAAACATTCGTAATGGCACACCAGACAAAAAAGGTGGCCACCTCTGTTCTAGCGTAAGTGTGTAGGAAGAAGAAGAAATTCGCGAACATCGTAGTCGTTAGATATACGATATCGCACTCGAAATTTATGTAGTCCCGCTATTAATCGTATATGTTTTCGAGTTACTATTTCTTGTGGACACCACGTAGGAATCATTCTAAAATAAATCTGGAATGTGCGGCCGCGATACACGACGTTTGCAATATAATAACCTGCACGGGGGAAATGTAATTATGTTTTGGCTTTGGTCGTTCGCTTCCGTATTACGAGGAGGAAGTAATATATTCCAAAGGAAAAAAAAACGTCATAATAAGACCCTCGTATGGAGTCCGCAATAGCTGTTACAGGGGATCAAAAGATTAACAATGGCCACCTGACATCTATTTAATAACCGACTTCGTTATCTCGGCTTTGCAACCTCCATGCATGCGCCCGGGAACTCTTTCGCCAGTCAAGTCACGAGACACAATTACACAATGCGCGTACTCTGATGGTACAACGTTTTCCGTTTAAATAAAGCTCCTCTCCTCTCCCTCTCGATGGCGATTGCGTTATAACGCAAAAATAGCTCTCGTATCTCCGAGAGCACGAGACCGATTTTCGTGCTCTCGTATCAAAAGTAAAGGAAACACAGTTTGGGCGGTCAGGTCGTCCTGGGGAATAACACATACGTGCCGTTGTTGTCGTTCGCATAATTGCGTCGGAGACGACGACAACCACCCATGCCCGATTTATCATCGAATTGTCCTCGCGCAACGACGACGAACGCACCCACGCGTGCCGCGAACGACAGGTGACAGTGCCCGCTGATTTCCCCCGACCGCGACAACGATTTAACGTTCGATCCCGCGCCGGGAATGCCTCCCTGGCTCCATCGCCATCAGGAAGCGAGGAGAAGGGTGGTCAGGGTGGAGAGTTATCGTGGCGCCGCGTCGCCGTGCCGACGTCGAAGCGAAACGTCGCGGTTGCCCGCGCGCGAATGTTTCACCACTTCCCTTCTGTCTCTCCGACTCTCCCGGTTGCTCTCCTCTTGAGGTGGACGAGGAAGCAGATGAGAGAGAAGGATAAGAAAGGAGGGAAGAGAGAGAGAGAGAGAGAGAGAGAGAGGAGCGC